TGAATGTTGTGCTGGTCTGAGCGCTGCGTCGCCCATTGCCTGCTGCGTGCCTCAGTCGGCTGCGCTGGCTTGGGCGCCACCGCGCGTGCCGATGGATCTCCGGTAGTGTGCCTGGGCAATATATACATTTATGATAGGGATTCAAGCTGGCGTCTGACTGTCCTGAATGTTGTGCTGGTCTGAGCGCTGCGTCGCCCATTGCCTGCTGCGTGCCTTAGTCGGCTGCGCTGGCTTGGGCGTATACTTACCTCCTATGCAGTATAAGCCCATACCCCCAACAGACAGCATCGCCAAAAACGAAGCACCAACGGCCATACCACCTGTGCAGTATGAGCCCATACCCCTAACGGACAGCATCGCCCAAATCGAGGCACCAGCAGCTATAACATTTCTGCGGTATGAGCCTATACCCCCAACGGACAGCATCGCTCAGTATGAGCCCATATCCCCAACAGCCATACCACCTATACAGCAAGCGCCCATACCCCCAACGGACGCCAGTGCACTGACCACCCCTGCCAAACGAAGATGCCTGATGCGCAACCAACCTACGAATACAGGTGTAAACCCGTCCATACCCTCCATGCAGCCGAAGCCCACCCTCAGGCCCAGCCGAGGCCAGCAACGCTTACGCACATCAAACGTGGAAAAACGCAACCAGAGACCGTCTCGAACCAAAACCTCATTACTACCAGGAGCAGCCAGTCCCACCGAACCCAAAACAGGACCAGCCAGTCCCGCCATAAACCACAAATTCGCAGCAGGCCCGTCACGCATGCACGCACTGATCCATGACAAATCCTTCATATCCATGCACCACTCACGCACACTGCGCTCAGCAACCAAACGTGCCCTTGAAACCGGCCAGTCACCCACGCGACACACCACTCTAGCAAGCTCAAAGTCTTCAAAACGCAAACATGAGCCAGCAAGCCCGCTACACCCCGCTCCCTTTGCTGCGCGAGCGTGCAGCTGCAACTGCGCCCCCCGAGGGGAGCGCTGCCTGGCCCGCCACCATGATGTTGCTCTTCGCCACCATGCTATTGCCTCTGTCACGTGCTGTGACGGGCGCTGTTTCGCGCGGTGGCGAGCAGCACGCGGAGACGCCGCTCAGGGCTACCGAGGCTACGACGACGATGCTGCTTACTGCGGCCGCCGCAGTGTGCGCGCTCGCAGCGGCGCGATGCTGTCCACTCGAGGTACTTGCTGGCACCTCTCGACCACCCATCTCGCTCGGGTCCTCAAGTGGATGTGCGTCGCGCGCTGCGGAGGGCGCTGCTGCGCGCTGCGGCGGGCCGCACGCGGAGACGCCGCTCAAGGCTACCAAGACTACGACGATGCTGCTTCCTGCGGCCGCCGCAGTGTGCGCGCTCGCAGCGTCGCTATGCTGTCCACTAGAGGTACTCGCTGGCACCTCTCGACCACCCGTCTCGCTCGGGTCCTCAAGTGGATGTGCGTCGCGCGCTTGCGGAGGGCGCTGCTGCGCGCGGCGGCGGGCCGCACACGGAGACGCCGCTCAAGGCTACCAAGGCTACGAAGACGATGCTGCTCCCTGCGGCCGCCACGGCAGGGCTGCGGCGGCCTAGGCACGGCCGAGGCGGGGCGTGGGGGCCGGGGCGCACACACTCACACCCTTTGGTATGAGTGCTAGTGCATGAGGGTTTGGGTCGATCGCTCGACCTCAGCCTGACGTCGACCAAGCCAGTGACTGAACAACACCTGTTGAACCATGCTGAGCCGCTAATATATATATGCCCAAGCCAGCGCAGCCGACTAAGGCACGCAGCAGGCAATGGGCGACGCAGCGCTCAGACCAGCACAACATTCAGAACAGTCAGACGCCAGCTTGAATCCCTATCAGTAAATATATTACTAATATAAGTCATGTTTAGGATGTGCGGAGGTGGGCCGCGCTCGCAGACTCTCCTGCATTTTCAGACGACGCGAGGGAGAGCAGTGAAGGTCGGTCAGCGTGCCAGTCGAAAGTCACCAGTCGTCGATTGTCGTGTGGCTGAACTGATCAGCGGTGGGGACGGTATCCGTGTGCTCGGGGTGGATCCCTGGATCTGAGTGTTTTTTTAACACTTAAATCCAGTGAGATCCTCCCGGGGACGGACGTTTAACTAGAAACTTACACACTGTAACAGCGCTGCCCAGGGGTCAAATGGGCTGCTTGTGAGCCAATATTCGATGCTCGTCCGCCGAACGAGTTTTAAAATGGATTAAATGGTCCCAGACTCAGTCAGGATTTTCGTCTGATTGCGTCTGGATATTGAATGGTCTCAGACTCAATTAGGAGTTACATTTACGTCTGATTGCGCCTGGGACCGTATCATGGGAGGGGGGGCATAACTTGGAAAGCGCTGAACAGTATACTGTACGGCCGTACAACCAGCCGTGCAACCTCTCTTCACACTCAAGCAGGGGTATAGAGGGGGTTGGGTTCATGCATATCGCAAATATTCGATGCTTGTCCGACGACCGCTTTTCAAAATGGATTTTCTGTATTCAAAAATGGTCCCAGACGCAATCAAAATTTTGAACTGATTACACAATCAAAATTCTGAACTGATTGCGTCTGGGATTACATTTGAATACAGAAAATCCATTTTTTAAAAACGGTCGGTCGGACAAGCATGATTTCGCTGGTAAACCCAACCCACCCTATACCCCTGACTCAAGCTTCTTCGGGACTCGAAAGCGAAAAGGAAAGGACTTCAGGTCGAAAATGAGCAAAAGCTAATAAAATTGAATGGACCTTCAGGGCTTCGATCCCCGTACCTCTGAGATGCGGACTCAGCGCTCTACCGAGTGAGCTAAAAGCCCATTGATTCTGAGAATGTAGTTCTCGACCACTATTTATATATAGGCCAAAGTGTCAGGGGGGATCTAGTTCTCGAATGCCGGAAGTGCGCGTACAGTCGCCTTTGCCGCTGCCGAGCCGGGGATGCCGAACAATAATTCACGCACCGTCATATCGGAGAGAGGAACGGCAGGCACCTCCA